TGCCCGGCACAGGAGCGGTTCCTGCCCGGCACAGGAGCGGTTCTTGCCCGGCACAGGAGCGGTTCCAGCCCGGCACAGGAGCGGTTCTTGCCCGGCCTCACCGCGCCGCTCCTGCGCTCCCGCTGCCGCCGCTCCTGCCGGGAAGCAGCGCACGGAAAAAAGCACGAAACCGAAAGAAAAGAGCCCTGTCAAAACATCAGAGTGCCCTGGGCACGTTCCCCTCCATGCAGAGGGAAAATCACCGCGAGCCCCCTCGGCCCGCCCGTGTTTCCCCACCTCGATCCCGCCACCGCCTCCTCACCCTCTTGTTTTCCCTTTTGTAAACCTTTTCCCACCTTCTAAACATGTACACGAGCTCCCATCTTCTAAACATGTACACGAACTCCCATCTTCTAAACATGTACACAAACTCCCATCTTCTAAACGTGATTCACAGGCAGCCGTTTCATCCCTGTTCCTTTAATTTGTTGCTTTCCCCTGGGTATCCTGGAGCGCTGGAAGCTCTTCCTCCTTCTTGTGGCAAAAAAAAAAAAAAAAGTAAATATTTGTGGCCCAACACTAAACACACTTTTAATAATATTTACTACAGCCGTGGCACACAGTAAGCAAGGGGCAGGTTAGTAGGAAGCAGAGTATTTGAAATATTTTATTCCAAGAGMTACTGAGGGCAGAAATCACCTAAGCCGGGAAACAACCTCTCCACACACACTCTATGACAAAGTAACACATTAAAATGGAGGGGTTTTCTTCAATCTGCTGTTTTTATCCTGAGAAATCAAGTTCTGATCCTTCAGGCAAATACAGCCAGTCTTCCGTAGTGGGCTAATCAACCAAAATCAGTGGGGTTCTATCTGTAGTCAATTCCTGAAAAAGGTGTCAAAGTTCATTATTAGATACTACCCTAAACAAAATGGGTAAAGCATATATTGGCAGATTCTAAAAATCCTATTCTTGTGCAAGRCATTATCCCTAGTTTGATAAGTCAAGTCAGGAAAGAGTACCTTAGCATGGAGAGTTCCAGGGAGGAACTGCAGAGAACTTTGTCAGGAGTATGCTTTGTACTGTCATAGTTTACGTGATTTTCTTGTCAGTAGAAACTAATTCGAATGTGGAAAAAGCAGAAAGAGGATATCATATGGATGCAATTTCAATGTAATTTTTCCCACAAGAATGTAAAAAGGCATTTCTCGTTGAAAAACTCATTAAAAAATGYGTAACAGCTCCTGCTTGATTGTAGATTTTGCTAGACACTACGAAAACTTGTTGGATGAGTTTAAATATAAGAATCCAGCAGTTGACAGTAAAMCACAGCAGCCATCAAACATTTGTCCTGCACTTGAATTTGTAGATAATGTAGACAATTCATCTCATTTATAAGAAAAAGCAGACACAGTGACAAGAAATGCTATTTCTTTCCAAGCCAACTTTCACTAAGGGACCAAAACCCAATACTATTATGATGCATAAACTACAAACATCTGTCTTCTTTGAATTGTGCAAAAAAGAATCAGTCTGATGTAAATTAGATGGAACATGGGATTATTCAGAAGTACTGACAGGTATGGGGGGTCCTGTTTATCAAGTCTGAACTGGAGTCTTACTTGCATAAAAGAACAAAATTTTGGAAGCTGCAGATTGAGTCCATTGGCAGAGACTGTCATGGATAAGAGACAGAAGTCAAATAACAAGGTGCTAAAATGGTAAAGAACTCTGGACAGAATAAGTTTTGCTACAGCTGTTCTTATTCCCTTGAAAAATTGATTTCTTGTCATTCTAGGTTCAGTACTTGAGTTTTCAGTACTGTGCCTAAGATTATTTGTTTAGGTTTCCATTTTCAAAGGGAACTCAAGGAGTTAAGTGCACAAATCACGCTCAGATTCAATGAACCCAGATTAATTTCTTTCTTAATGCATTTATAATGAAAATATGGGTTGCTGTGAACAATTTATGACAACAGCACAATTAGCACCAAGTAGGAAAACAGAGAAGTGTGTCTGAAAGCAGGGAAGAATATATAAGGAGTCCTAAAAAAGGAAATGTACCATATAATGTGCTTTAGGCTGAAAATGCAGCCTTTGAGGTCTCTCAGCTCCCTCTCTATGTTTTGCCAGCCACAATGTTGAATCATGGGCCAATTCACTGACCCAATSCTAAAAAATGAAAGCAGAAAGAAAAAATCCATCAAATCAAAGCTCCYATTTCCGTGTGCAGGTAGCAATTGCCAGAGGAACTCTCCAACCCCTCTGCAGGCATTGGGGTATTTTGTACAATTTGTGTTTTGTCAATGCACCTATTGCATCCATGCAGAAGTTCTGAGCATCAAATATTTCTCACCARCATTTCTCAGGTGAAAACATGATCATATCCTTTGAGAAGTAGCATTTTGTGTAGGTGATTGAGCATTACAACAGGTGCCACAGCTATCCAAATTACTATTTTTGTTGTTAGGGAATGCAAAAGCTATAAAGTTGTCTTGTTCTGTGCATAGGCTGGATAATGTTCATCATCAAATGGAAAATAGTTAAAGTATAAGATTATACATGAAATATGAAAATATGGAGGGTTTAAGGAAAAAAAAAAAGCTAATATTTGTGCTATGTGGACTTTAACTATCATAAGAAAATCAGAAATGTGTCAACCAGCTCTAAGACTGGACTGGCATCAAAAGTGGATCAGAAGGAATAACCTGATAGAACTTTAGAAAACGAGTGTTGGAATTGTGGTATTCCCAGCAGTTTAGCACTTCGGACATACCTGAGTAAAACAGACATTGCCGTCTGTAATCTTGAATTTAATAACTCTATAATGCAAAGTCATCTTTGCTCACTCCTCTGTAATTTAGGCAAAACAGTGGATTGCCCTGGCTCCGAGGGAGTGGTTTGGATGTGATCATTTAGCACTGGCTGTCTGCTCCTCCAAGGCCCATTTAACTGCTGCTCAGTTGGAGCTTGCCATGTATTGTTCTCGTGGCACTGCATCATCCAAATGACTCTGTCTGTTAGTGTGACCTTAAACAAGGTCTCTCAGTGTCCTTATATGTAAAATGTGCTAATGACACCACGTGGTTTGTGTATGGATCACAGAGGAAAAAGCCACGTATACATTCTGCTATTCTTTAGATTGGCAGGACTAGGTGAATATATATTTGTCTCATTTACTGTGTGCCTCTCTGCTCACTCACGTGTAATTATTCATAATTATAATCTTCCTAACTCGTTCTCTTTAAATACAGAATTTTAAATCCTTGCAATGCTCCTGTGCTCAGTTCACTGCAAGTGTCCATACAGCAWCTGCATTCTGTATTGTCCTGTGCATACAGGATTCCAGCAGAAAGGAGAAGGGTGCACCCCAAATTCTGCCAGAGATCTGAAGTCACATAAAGGAGTAGAGTGAAAAAAAACCTCAACATTCAGTTTTATGGCATCCCTGTACCTGGGTACATTATCATCTCTCTTCTGCCTTCTGTGCTTTGTTTGCAGTTAGGAGTATTGCCATTTAAAGTGATTTTATTATACTCCAGTGTCAGCATCTATCCTTGTAATARAGATATAACTTGTATCTCTCTCAGTTACTCACTCGTGCTGCATGCAGACAGCATGGCCTGGCTCTATATTCAGTACATCTCAAATGGGTTTTTCTACCACAGGGCTTGGCATTGTCATCTCTTCAGCTGACAAATGTTTTTAACAAGGCCTGGGGATCACAAGATGCTGATATTTGCAAAAGGAGTCAGCTCACCTGGTCACTGTGGTCTTTCCTGCTACACAAGAGGTATCTATGCATGGATCAAAAATTCAGGGTGCCATGGGTTCTTTCTTACATTTTTGAGCATCCACAAATCTGGTACTTATTCTGAGGCCAAATACCAGTGGTTTTATACATAGTGAATGGTGTCATGTTCCTTAATTGTTTTAATTCCAAAACTGTGATAACTGTATTGTAATGTTCAGATTGCCAGAYATCCACAGTCTTACTTATTACTCAGTAGTATTTGCAACTGTGAGCTTCCAGAGACATGAAACACAAACAKAATTTCATCGTTTGAGGACAGCAAATGCAACAGAATTTGAACAGATCCAAAAAAGAATATTTATTTTTATATAGCAAATATTTCCTGAAATCCCTGGCATTTMATCTGTAATGATGCTTCTCATTGCTTCTTTCTTTTATCCAAGCCTAACCTGGGGCTACATACTCTTGGGAAGGACCATGCTAGAATAATTATGAACTCTAGATTCTATTGCAATGGAATGCTATAATCCACTAAGTCTGCACCTTATTCAGCATTTTTCATGTGTATATTTTGTAATATTTATMTATATATGAATAACCTTTGG